CACCTTTCCCACGCGCAGGCGTGTGCCACAGGCTGCTTAATTACAGCAATTTCCAAATTGCTGTTGTGGGATTGACTTCATTGGAAAGAGTTAAAATGTTTAGCTTGATTGAACATCTGCTACCCTTAATTCCGAGTTTATTTAAGGGGAGCTTTGGCTGCTGTGGCTGGGATGTGCCTGGATTTCGTTATCTCCATGTGCTCACAGTGCTGGGCACAGCCCAGCCCTGCTCTCCCCATCCCAAAAAACCAGCGGGGTGTGGTGTCCCCCACTTCCTCAGCTTTGTGTCCCTGGGCTGGCACGGTCCCCATTGTGTGGCACAGGAGCCTCTTGGTTGATTTTTTTTTCCCCATCCATCTGTGGATAGAGCCAGGATTGTTATCCCAGCACCACTGGGAGCCTCCTGAGCCTTCCCAATCCTTGTCCAGGGATCACAGGGAGCCTCCTGAACCTTCCCAATTCCTGTCCAGGGATCACAGGGAGCCTACTGAACCTTCCCAATCCTTGTCCAGGGATCACAGGGAGCCTCCTGAGCCTTCCCAATCCCAACCCCCTCCCCAGCTTGTCCCAGGCCTCGTGTCTTTGAGGGGAGGGAGATCCAGAGGGGACCATGCCAGCACAGTCTTGGTTGGATGCACTTCAAATACATCACCAAATTCTTTCCAGAGGATGTGTGGAATAATTAGCCAATGGGTAAATTGTCAGGTTAATTAACCAGTGCTGGGAAAGATGGAGATTTTCCATTGCATGGCTAGTGACCCCATTCCCAGCTGGAGAGGCCCCTGAACACGAAGCATGAGGGTCCCATTCCTGGCCTTCCTGCAGCCCAGCTCTCCAGATTATTTTCTTCTCCCAGGAAATAATTTTGGGGCATATTTGGGAAAAAAAATTCCCAGGCTGTCTCTCCAGCCTCACCCCCAGTGCTGAGGGGGTGTTTTCCCATTTCCCCCAGCCCATTCCCAGCCCTGCAGAGGCCAAGCCCCTGTTTGGTTCCGTGGCATTAATTTTACGGCGTCCCTGGAGCGGCTCCAAAGCAAAGTTTTATGTGCTGTGATTACACAAGGTGAATTGTCCTGGATCTGTTTAATGGAACACATCCTGTGGTTAACGGTTCCTCAGGGAATTAAACCCAGTCCAGCTGTTAATCAGGCCTTGGTTTTGCGGGGAGGACACGAGGAAGAGGGAGATGCCTGGAGCTTTAATGCAGCACTGCCAGGGGAGATGCGGCTGATTATCGGTGTCTCATCAGCCCTCTCACCACCTGATCTGAATGGCAGCATCAATTAGCCAGAAGGTTAATTGAGATGTTCCAGCAGAGATGGGAGAGGACACAGGGAACATCCACTCACATTTGTTGGAACACTGGATGCTGAGAATTTTAAACTTTCTGTGCTGAAAGGCAAAGACCTACAAGAGAATACTGCATTTGACCTGAGGCCGTGGAGAGGTTTCCAAAATTGATTAATAGCACTGGTATTGCTGTCGCCCTGATTTTTTAAGATTTTCTAAGCCTTCTGATGTTTACATTCTTGTAACGAACTTTCTCACACACTTCTGTAAATAACTTATTGTTTTGCGTTCTTTTATGGAGGAGGAGAAATTTGATGGACTGTTGGTTTGTCCAGTGTCCTTGGAGAGGTGGCGCTTTCACCCTCCAATCCACCATCACTTTTGGAAATCTATAAATGTCAGAGTCAGAAAACAAACTGCCCCTTTTACCTTGGAAAGAGCAGCTGAGTCTGCGTTGTGGTTTTTTGTGTCCTATAGTGACAGTATTACGGGTGTGTAGTTGGCTAGAAGCGTGTGAAAAAACTTAGATTTGGGGTTTTAGTATATGCGATACCATCTCAGAGCCCACGAGCCAGAACATCCCCTCAGGAGCATTTTTGGGAGGCCAGGAGCAGTTTGGGAGACTAGAAGCAGGGTCCACACTTCAACCCAACCCCCATGGGAGCAAACCCTGGGGCTGAGCTTTGGGGTGTCCCAAAACCAAACCAAAGGATCCCACACACAGGGAATGTGCCGAAGATCCATTTAGCCAAGATGGAGCCAATTCTCCGTCTTGGCTAAATGGACCATATACTAAACCATATATTATATACTAAAACCCCAAATCTAAGTTAAATTGACCATATACTAAACCATATATTATATACTAAAACACCAAATCTAAGTTTTGGGGGTTTAGTATGTAATACATGGTTTAGTATATGGTCCATTTAGCCAAGATGGAGAATTTTGTGTGTGAGTTAGATGGGTTTTTTTGCACCATCTTCTTCACAAACCCGCGTAGTTTCCTCTAACTGGGTGAAATTCCAGCACGTATCCTCTGTCCCCTTTTTTCCCCCCCAGAGTGGCCAGAGTTTGTGGCCAACTACGCCCCGTGGTGGGCGACCCACACGCTGGACTGGCTGCGCTACGGCAAGAAGGTGCTGGTGGTGCACTTCGAGGACCTCAAACGCGACCTGTTCGCGCAGCTGCAGAGGATGGTGGCCCTGCTGGGCGTCACGGCCTGCGAGGACAGGCTGCTGTGCGTGGAGGGACAGAAGGACGGAAACTTCAAGCGCTCGGGGCTGAGGAAGCTGGAGTACGACCCCTACACGGCCGAGATGAGGAAGGTGATCAGCGGCTACATCCGAACCGTGGACGCGGCCCTGAAGCTCCGCAACCTCTCGGGGGTGCCTGAGGATTATTACCCCAGATGATGGTGACCGCAGCGGGGGGATCGTGGCCGAGGGTGGCTCGGTCCTCCCAGATTCTGCTTAATTCCACCCAGTGGGTGGCTCCTCTTTTAACCCTCCGTGTGCTGCTGTAGCTGTTGGTCACTCCCTGCATGAGCCACCACAGGTCCCCAGCCGCCGCTGAGCTTTTTGATGGCCAACCTGGGGACAAGGGTGCCTTCCCTGCTCCCCCAGGGTCCCTGCTCCTGTTCTGGCTGCCCCAGCCTTCCTGGGAAGTGCAGTGGGATGTCTGTGTCCCCTCAGGCTCTACTGGGGACATCGAGCTGCTCAGGCCGTGCCTGATGTACATGGAGCTGAGCTCCCTGGGGTGGGTGTCCCCAAAATCCCAGCCCTGCAAGGATTCCACTTGTGCTTGATGGAATCTTCAGCCTTCCCAAGGGAGGATGGAGCACGGGCGTGGCACTGTGTGGGCGATGCCCCTGTGGATACTGCCTGAGGTTATGGGATGGCAAGGCCGTGCTGTGCAATGTCCCCAAACCTGGTGGCTATGGTCCCTTGAGCCATCCTGTGGTTACCTGAGAATTCCCTGGAATTCCCCAGCCACAGCACCAGGAAAAGTTGCTGCTCCAGCCTCTGGGGGGGCCCATGACCCCCACCAGTGTGTCTACAGTGGAAGCTCCCCTTCCCTGTGGATGCAGCTCCAGAGGGGGACATTTTCCCTGGACAGAGGAGCTGCTGGGACCCACGAGCTCATCCAGGCCTCGTTTCAGAGCTCATGAGCCAGCACATCCCTTCAGGAGCATTTTTGGGGGGCCAGGAGCAGTTTGGGGGATTAGAAGCAGGGTCCACACTGCAACCCAACCCCCGTGGCAAGCAAACCCTGGGGCTGAGCTTTGGGGTGCCCCAAAGCCAAACCAAAGGATCCCACACACCGGGAATGTGCCGATTTCCGGGCTGGCTTTGTGCACAGCTGCATGTGGTCCCTGGCTGTCCCCTCATCCCACGCCACCCTCCCCATCCTGGCTTTGTCCCAAATGAGCTCCCCAAGGCTCCCAACCCGCAAAACCCCTTGGATGTAGGTGCAAAAGCCATATATTGTACGCAGCCTTTTCTAGAGTTAGAGATTCACCAGTTGGCTTTTAACTCTTGATCCTGATAGAAATGCAGGCACAGGTCGAATCCAGAGACCACACTTGGTCTCTATTCCAAGAGAGAAGAAAACTCCCTGGAGAAAAAAAGGAGAATTTCAATAAAAATCTATTTTTCTAACGTGTGTGTGGAGCAGAGCTGGGATGGGGGGCTCCCGCTTCTTCTTTCTTTGAAGAAGGTGGGGGATTGGTTCAGAGGGAACAGCTGCCCCATTTTTAACTCTTTAACCCTTTTTAACTCTTTTTTAACTCTTTAATTCTTCCCTTGACAAACAGCTGAAGGTATTTTTGGCATTCATGGCAGCAGGATTGGAGCTGAGCCCACACTCCTTTGCTCATGGCAGCCCCGGGGTTGTCACATCAGAACAAACCCTCAGGGTACCCCAGCAATTAAAGGAGAGGTTTTGTTGCTGCTCTGCCTCCCCGTGTGTTTGTGGGGCCACCTGAGCACCCCCCACCATCCCAGACCAGGGCAGTGGGAGCAGAGGGAGAACAGCTCCTCTCCCCTTTAATCCCATTAATCCACTTCTGCATTTAAACCCATTAACAGGTATTTAAATCCCATTAATGTCATTTCTGTGTTGACAACCAAAGCTGCTCCTTTTTGGGAGCTTCAGTACCTTGAGAGTGTCCTTACAGACAGATTTAATGGGATGCATGGGGAGATTCACTGCAGGATTTATTCCTGACCTTCCTCAGCACCAGAGCGAAAGCTGGGTGCAATTTATCCCTTATTTCTAATCTGGAGTTGGTGAAATTCCTATTTTATTTTTTTTTTTAAGCAGGGATGACGCCTCACCTCGGCCTTGATTTGTTCTGACAGGCCCCAGCCGCCGGAGGCGCAGCGCTCCCTCCCGCCCCTCGGAAGTAATTAACCCCTCAAAGCCAATTAATCGCCCAGATAAAACAATTAAGGGATGGCATCGCGTGCGGCGCTCGGAGCCTGGGCTGCAGCTTGGGAGGAGGGAGGGGGGACCCCACATCTGCACCTCCCCAAACCCCTTCCCACAAAAAAGCCTGGGAATATCCACAGCCTCCAGCAGTACCAATTTACATCATTTTATTTATTTTTTTCCCTGCTTTCATTACGCCACAATTGCTTTTTTTTTCTTTTTTTTTAGTTTTTTTTTTTTTTTCTATGCCACAATTGCTTTTTTTTTTTTTTTTTTTTTTAGTTTTTTTTTTTTTTCCTAAATTTAAATTGCACCGAAAGGGAGCAGCTGGAAGATATTATGACCATGTCAGGGCGTGCTGCACATCTGGCTGCACCTCTGGATTCTGGGATCCCCCTTCCCCACATCCCACTGATGCAGAAGCAGCTTCCTCCCTCCCAGAGCACACACTCTGATTTTTTATTTATTTATTAAACGCTGGGCTGTATTTTAACCACGTGGAACTGGCACGTAAGGACGAAATTCCTATTCCCCCTGGAAAAAGGAGCCAACCACCCTTCCCTCATCATTTTCCTGGGGAAAGCTCCTGACATTTAACATCCCGCCCGGCTGCCTGGGGGAGGCAGCACTCAGCCTTTCTTTCCATGAGGATTTGAAAAGCTGGGAATCTTTCGGCTTGACTCAGCCTGAGCATCCCTGGCTGGGCACAGCCCGCCCTGCCCTGCCCTGCTGTGGGGCTGGAGGGACCGTGACCCCCCTTCCTCCTCCTCCCTGGATTCCTGCAGGAAAAATAATCTATTTTTGGCAATTTCGCATCCCCGGGAGCGTTTTCCTGCCTCCCGGTCCTGCTGCAGCGTTCCTCCCTCCAGGGCTGCAGGGGTTTCTCAGCTGTTGCCGAGGCAACGGCGTCTGCACCAAAAACTCCCGCATTTCCCCCAATTCCGGGTGCGTTTTTTGCTCCCTGGACGCTGTGATGCCGCAGGTGATGCCAGGTGTGGCTCGGGTCTAGGATTCCTTCCTGGCAAAGGGAGTGGATGCTCCTTTGGGGAGGATTCAGGGAATTCTGGGCAATGCCCCCAGTGATGCAAACAATGCTGGGGGGCTCAGAGAGAAGGAGTTCCCCTTCTTCCCAAATTAAATCCCATGAAGCTGTGTTTAAAAATAAAGGGAAATTCCCCCAACCCCCAGCAGCAGAACTTCCATAAAAACCCCAGAATGGGGAGATGGGCCATAAATCTGAGAGCAGCCATCTCCATCCCTGACAAAACCAACAGGTTTATGTATCAGCTTGGGTATTTCCCCTAAAATTTACAGCTGACAACGTGCCTGAACACAGCAGGGATAATTTAAACCTGGCTCTGAGCAAAGGGAGAGGGGAACACATTTTAGTCCTTTTTTTTTTTTTTTTCCCTTAATTTTAAATTTCATTCCAATTCAGAATAAAGGCAGTGATTTATGGGACAGGGAGAACACGGCTTTATTTTAGGGCTGTGACAGCCAAGTGAAAAAGAGCTGTCATTGAGGATGGTAACACATTCCACAGGAGCAGGATTTGCTGTATTCCAGAGTAATTTCTCCCAGGGAATGAGACCCAGCCTTGGGTTTGGGTGGGGGATAAATCCAGGGAAGCAGCAGGTGTTGGTGCTCCAAGGCTGGGAATGGGGGTTCTGGGGTGGGGGGTTTGTGCTCCAGCTCCAAAACCTGCTGTTCTTTGCCACAAGCCTTGATTGACCCTAAAATCCCCACAACTGCCCTAATTCCAGGTTTGATGGGGATGGTGGTGCCTCTGCATCCCACTCACCCCTTGGCTCTGGGGTGCTGAACCCAGCTGCATCCCAATTTCACCAATTTCTGCCCCAAAAGGGGCAGCAGATCCCGGCACCACCAGCTTTGGAGCTGCAGCTCCCACCCAGTCATTTCCCTGGATGTTAATTCCAGTTTGTGCACGTTCCCCTGGAGCTGCCCATGGTCATTAACCTCCTGCTGCCGTTAATCAAGAGGACTTTGTTAATTAACAGCCAAGGATGTCTCCAGCTGAGCAGGACAGGGGTGGGATTGGGGTCACCTGGATGCATCCAAGGATCCTTGATTTAACATATTGGAGCTTCCCAACACTCTGGGGGAGTGCAGCCCCCTTCCCTCCACGAACAAAATATCCAGCACTGCAAAAAAACAAGGAATGCTGACAGGATCCATCCTCAGCACCCTGGGAGATTCCCGAGCTGCAGCTCCTGCAGTATTTCGGGAATATCACAGCAATTGGGGCAACACTGAGCTGCATTTCTCTGCCACTCTGCCAAAAAGGGAAGAAAAACCTGGCTGAGGAGGCTGAATTTTTCTGAGGAATGTTTTTTTTTTCCCCTGTTTCTATTTTATAGGCATATAAAAATGTGCTTTTTAAATGCTGCCTGGGTGAGCTGTTTGCTGCCTGTCTCAGCGGGTGACGGGAACAGAAATCACTGATATTCCTTGGGGAGCTTAATTCAAAGCTAACAGGGTCCAGCAGGAAAAACTCAGTGGATTTTTCCCTTCCCCATCCTCATCCCAAACCCTGGCAGGATGAGGAGAATCAGGAACTAGAGAGGACAGAGCAGCAGCGCTGGTGTCTGGAGCACTTGGATCATCCAAGCCCCATCCCTCTGCTCCTGAGCTCTTTCCACAATTCCAAATTGGACACCAGGGCTCAGGAATACACACAGGGAAGGGACTGCTCAGTGAAAATCCCTGGTATCCTTCCCGCTCCACACTTTGAGGTATTTGTCTGGAAAACAGAGGTTTTATTAAATAAGCAAACAGCTACAAAGATGCACCCAAATATTTGGGAAACTCGGGATTGCCAAGCTGCCATTACAGGGATGGTTTAACCCCAGGGTAAGTACCAAAGCACTGCTTTTTTGCTTTTTTGCTTTTTTTTTTTGGAAAGCTGTTTGGAGTAATAACAGATGGGCTTGGAAAAAACAGACACCAGAATTAGTGAGGAGCATCCTGAATCCATTATGAACATCCCAGCAACAACCTGAGGGGCCGTGGGATGGCATCCAGTCCTTGAGGCTTCATTCCCACATCCAAGCCTTCTCCAAACTCTGAGCCCAAAAAGCCCCAGGGGCTGCTGGCTCTGGGTACATCCCATTCCCACTGCTCCCTAAACAGATCCTCTGCAAGTTCTGTGTGTCCCTGTGTGTCCATCTGTCCGGTCCATCCCATCTGTCCTATCCCACTCCTAACAGGATCCTGGCAACCTTCCAGCAATACTAATTAAATACTGGGGAAAATGAGCAAGAGGAGCCTCCTCCCACCACCAGAGAGGCCCTGCAGCCTCCTCAGGCGCTGCATCTTCCATGGGTATGGATCCAGCATGGGTTTTGGGGGAAAAAATCTCTGTGGATCAGGGCTGGGAGTAGCCCTGGTCTTGGCCATGGGACGTGGTGAGGTGCAGGGATGTGTGGCAGCGTTCCCTAGGGAAGTGGGTGGATTCCAACCCCAGGAGACACGGTGACAATCCAGGTGCTGAGTGTCCCATCACATGGAGGAGGTGATGCAGATCGAGGTGGAGCAGCAAGGCAGTGCTGGGGTGGACGCCGGGTAATCCTTCTGAAATCCTGAAATCCCGAAATCCCAAAGTTCTGAAATCCCGAAATCCTGAAATCCTGTTCCTGCCGCAGCACCCGCTCTGATCCACGATGTTCCTGCAGCTCAGTTATCAGGGCTTTACTTGTACCTGCAGCTGGCAAGATCTTCTGCCTGGAAATAGCTCCCTGCCTTTTCCTGGGAAATGTCTCTCCATTTTATTTTCCATTTTCTGATTTCCAAGGAAAGCTATAAATAAATATTTCAGCTTCTGTGGGCACCTGGGAGCAGATTCTCAATGGCCAAAACTTGCAGAAAGCTCCCCAAAGGACCACTTGAAATGTCCCTAGGGCCACTGAGGGCTGGCCAAAGCCAGCTCCAGGGAGTGACACATAAATGAGGGTGACACCAGGGTCATGGGGAAGGAGCCCTAATGGAGAAGGAGGTCCAAAATTAACTGGGTATGAAATTGGATGGAGGTGGTGGCTTGGCCCCTCCTTCACTGCAGAGGTCAATGTGTTGCCACACATTGCCCCAGAGTCTCCCTGGAGATTCCCAGAGTGTCCCAAGACAGGAGAGACAAAATCATCCTGTAGAATCAACAGAGCCAGGCTCCCTTGGATGCAAGAGGGGACAGCAGGTCCTCCCCAGAATCTCATGGGCCTGTTCCTAGCCCCAGACATCCAATTATTCTGCAGGATGTACCATGTGGAATGTGCCCATCAAAAGAAGGGCTAAAAAGACATTTCAAATTGACCTTTCCCTCTTTCTTCTCCCAGTTTTCCATGCTGGCAACCCTGTGTGTGAGCCCAGTCCCCACACTGGTGGGGACAAGGTGGCCCTGGGTCTGGATTACTTAGAAGACATTTGAGACTTCCCAGTTCTCTGAGGTGGGATATTCCAACCCCTCCTAAGGACACTTCCCAAAAAAAGTCACAAACACCTTGTTCTGGTACCAAAATACCTCAGGAATTTACCATGAGGAGCCACACACAGACATGGGACAGAGGAGTGTCACCAATTCGGCCATGGCACAGGAGATGCCTTCCTGATATCCTGCACCCCACCACGGTGTCTCTGGAAACTCCAGGAAAGCCCTTCCTGGGTCAGCCAATGCCCAAAAATATGTTCTTAGTTTGGCACAAGGATTTTTGCAATCCCACCCAAGATCAAGGGTGGTGGTGTCTTCTCCATACCTTGGGGGTCTCCATCCCCTGCCAGCCCCCAGGCAGCAACACCAGTCAAAAATGGGCTGTAGGACAGTGCTGGACAATGCTTGACCACACCAGGGCTGGCCACCATCACAGTGCCAACACCAGGGGATTCTGTCCCTCCTGCAGGCTGGGTTTAGACAACTGTTGTCTCCTTCTCAGTCATGGAGGAGACCTTGGAGAAGCTCCTGTGCACGATGCTGGAGTGTCCCGTCTCCTCGCTGAGGGCGTTCACCAGCCTGGAAAGGAGGGTCACCTTGAACTTCTTGAAGTCCTGGCCCATGAAGACGTAGAGGACGGGGTTCATGCAGCTGTTGGAGGCTGCCAGAGCCGTGGTGAGCGGGATGAAGATCTCAAACACAGACCAGGGCACCGTGTCGGGCACCGTCTCCAGCAGGTTCAGCAGGTGGTAGGGACTCCAACAGAGGAAGAAGGTGACAATGATGGTGACAATGATCTTGAAGGGCTTCTTGGACTTTGCCAGGCGGTTGCGGCGCAGGTTGAAGACGATGGCGACGTAGCAGAAGGTGATGATGGTGATGGGGAGGATGTACCCGGCCAGGAACCTGGTGATGTTCACGGTGCGGTGCCTCATCAGAGCCAGCCCTTCGTAGGATTTATTCCTGGAGAGGGAGAAGTTGCTGAAACAAATCACGGAGTTTCGGGTCTGCGCCGTGTCCCGGAAGACGAGCGAGGGGCAGCTCATGACGATGCCCACGGTCCAGATGATCACACAAACCCCGTAGGCCAGGTTGGTGGAGCGGTGGTTCTGCGACCACACCGGGAACACCACGGATACGTAGCGGTCGAAGCTGATGGTGGTGAGCAGCAGGACGCTGGTGTACATGTTGAGGATGAGGAGGAAGGAGTTCAGCTTGCACATGACCGTGCCGAAGATCCAGTGGTAGCTCATGGCCGTGTAGGCGATGTTGATGGGCAGGAAGATGTTGAAGAGGAAGTCGGCCACGGCCAGGTTGAGAAACCAGACCGCGTTGACCGACTTCTTCATCTTCAGGGTGATGATGGCGATAACGAGGCCGTTGCCCAGGATGCCCAGCACGCAGGACACGCTGTAGATGATGACAGACAGGATCCTGGTGATGTCCTTGGGGTCGTGGGCCGGGTCTGCCCACACGCTGCCGCTGTCCTCGTAGGTGTAGTCGGGGTAGTCGCTGTAGTTGTTATTGAGGCCGTCCAGGTAATCGGAGAGGTTGGGAAGCGCCATCGTCCCTGGGAACGGCAGTTGATCCGTGTGATCCCGGGGAGCTGGGATGCTGGGATCTGCGGCCAGGGATCTTCCCCTGCTGAGCAAACACTTGGTGTTAATCGCAGTGAGGAGAGCAGGAGGGACAACGGCCCCCAGCACGTGTGGGAATTGGGGACAGGGAGAGAAGGGACAAACACGCAGGAATGGGGGATCCCACGGAACCCACCGATCCCGAACAAGATGCTCCCACAGCTCCTCCCTGATTTCCACCCCCATCCATGAGGCATCAGGACGTGATTCAGTCCCTCAGCTCCACCAGGATGTGGCTGCAGCCTCATCCTGCAGAAAACGTTGCTTACCCGCCTACTTCCAGAGGGAAAACCAGGATAATGCTCATTAACAGCTCATCAACAGCTCTGACTTTCCAATCTGAAACATATTATGGCTTCTCTCTTTTTTTTTTTTTTTTTTTTTTTTTTTTTTTTTTTTTTGTACTGAAGTGGACTGAAAGCCCAAAGGGAAGCTCCCCACACACCCCACTGACACCGGGCACCCTCTCACCTCTCTCCTCTCTGTCGGGATGGGGACAGGTGACAGTTCAGTGTCCCAGGGCACAACGGCAGCTCCCTCCACACCGGCCTAAGGCATGAGCTGTAACATTAAAGCCAGGATCAAAGAAAGGCCACTCACCCCCGGATGTGGGGTTAGGGGAGGAAACCCAATCAGGGTGTGGCAACAATTAACCCTGTGCAGCCTCCCTCGAGGGACTGGGGAAGACAGGGTCCTGCCTTGATCCCAGCAGGTTTTGGGATAAGCCAGGACAGAAATCCCAGCCTGTACCCTCTGACCAAGGACCAAACACGAGCAGCAGCCGCAGGTGCACACCGAAACAACCGAACAACCAACCACAGGTTACTAATAATTAAATAATAATTAATTCAAGGTATAAATGAGGCCCACATTGTCTGCACGATCTATTTTATATCCTGCATTCTCACAGGGTTGTTTTCCCGATTCAGTTGATGCCCTGTATGTTTAAATATGTTAATTGTGGTGAATCAGCAGCATCACTTGCCATCGTCAGACTCCAGGCTCCAAAGCCTGGACTGAGGGGGTTCAACCTTTCCCCTGTGAGAATCCAGGATACAAAACCCCCTAAATGGGTCAGGGGGTTTAAAACCAAAATCCCCCAAAGCCTGACCGAGAAGCACAGAGCATCCCACCCGGACGTGTCCTCACAGGAGGGACGTGGGGACGCCCAAGGACCCTCCCTGTTCCCGAGGAATTTCACCCCAAAGGTCCCTGAGCGTCACCTTCCCGCCAGCCTGCTTTGAAATTCCCATGGTGTTTGTGTTGGAAGCTATTGTTTCTCCCTGGGCTTTTCCTGCTGTTCCTTCCTGCCATTGCTGCTGCAGAGTCCCCGGCCGGGGGTGAAATCCCACCCTGTCACCTCCCCCTGGCCGAGCTCCGGGGGACGATAAGCAGCCAGAACAAATGAGGGTTGAGTGCAAAGTTTGGGAATGAGCTGGAGCAGGAGCCTTGTCCCAGGAAAACCTCGATGGCCAAGGAGATGAATTAAAGTCGATGATCCAGTGGAAGGAACAGAATCAGCAGAACTGACTCTCCCAGAGATGTTAATGTTGATTAATGAGGGTTGCTTTATGGAACAGGGATTTCAGGTCATCCCCTTCCCAAAGGCAGAGCTCCTAGAAAGGTGGGGGAGCCCAGAACCCCATGTCCATCCCACCTCACCCCACTGCCTCATATCCCACCCCACTTCATTGCCTCCCATTGCACCACACCCCATTGCATCATATCCCATCCCATCCCATCCCATCCCATCCCATCCCATCATCCAGAGAACCCCAAAGCTCCCTGGACCTGCTCCACAGCCACCTTTTCCACTGTGGTGCCATCCATGGGGCAAGTGAGACACTCCCACCCCTCACTCTTACCCCACATTCAGCCCCTGCTCCAGAGGGACAGGAGAAATTCCCACTCCTCTTCCCACTGGGTCCACTCCCATGTTTTTAATGTAAAATCCTCCCTTTAGTATCATTTTTAATTTCAGGACCTGATGACTTTCAGCTCATCCCAAAGATCATTTTATTGGATTATTTCTCTGAATTCTTTGTTAATTTTGCTCTGCAGGGATTGGTCTCTGTTCCCAGTTGGGATGAGGATGGCAGAGAGCAACGGGAACACCAGGACTCTGCTTCCCTGTGGGATTTGGCAGGGGATGGGTTTGTTTGCAGGGCTCATGAGGAGCAATCCCAAACTCCACAGGAGCAGCAGGCCAATCCCACCATGAACATTCCAGATGGGCAGGATGGGCACCAGGAGCCCAGACCTGCAGGAAAATCACCCAGCAAACTCCCACCTGCCTCTCCAAAATTCTCTCAAAAATGGAAAGTCTCAGGGGCAGCTGCATGAAACCTCCTCATTTCTCAGATCAAAAAAAAAAACCAACTCTGAAGTCTGGGAGAGGAAAAAAAAAAAAAAAGCCACATAATACCAAGAGTGTTTCATTGCTCCTCTCCGGGCTGAAAATTCCCTGCTCAAGCCAAAACCACTGTTCTCCCTTCAATCTATTAATCTTTGTCCTCCTACCTCAACAAAAACGAGCAGAGGGTTTACCCAAAATAGCCTTTTCTCCATCATTCCCGCAGCTGTGTTTGTCTTGGTACCCAGGGAAGGCCGGGTGGGATTCCCGACGGGCGGCTCGAGCACCGGCAGCATCCCGGCACATACCGGGGGAGGATGAGGTCAGGGATGTTGTTCTTGGGAAGGCAACAGGAAACCGAGAGAACAGCAGAAAATGTTCAAATCCAGCTTTTCTGGGCGAAAAAGCTCTGCCCCGGCCAAGGCAGACGGGCGGGGGACGGATGTGAGCGGGGAAAGGCGGCGGGATCCGCGTCCCGGGGACACGGGGAGGGCAGGGGATGCTCGGGGCCTCGGCTGGCAGAGGATCCCGGCGGGCAGGGCGGTGCCAGAACCCTGCTCCCGGAGTTTATAGGGATGGGCAGGCTGCCAGCACCGCCTCCTGCCCGCCGGCCAGGCTTTTAGTGGGACAGGTTGAGGAGAACTGATAGAACCTAATCGAATCAAATCAAATTAAATTAAATCAAACCAGCAGAGCAGCTTTTGAGTACATCAGACCCTGCCTGAGCTGTCAAAGTGCATCACGCTTTGATGTACATCATGAAATGGATCCGGGCTGGGACCTGCCAGGGCTGGGGAAATTTGGGGAGCCCTGGGGTCGGTGCTTGTCCCTTCTAGAAAATTCTTGTCCCCGGCACGGGACAAACAAATCCCCCGGGGAACAGCCGGGTCCGCGCCCGCCCTGCTGCCGCCTCCTCCCCGGCAGCTGCTCTGCCTTTCCTTCCTTGGAGCACTTCCCTCTCCTCTTCCCATCGGCGGCTCCCGAGCTCCCAGCGCACCCCAAACCCCATCCCGCTTCCTCCGGGCGTGGGAGGCGCGGGCAGCTCCGGCACAGCTTCCCGGGAGAGGGGGATGAATGGCAGGCAGATGTTTGGAGCTCAGCTTTGGGAAGGGCTCGGGGTAAAAAGGGATCTCCACGTCCCTCTGGAGCTGCTGGCACCAGACCCCACCAGACCCCACCGAGCCCTGCCACAGTCCTGGATGTCCCTGGAGGGCAGGGATGTCCCCGGGGACATGTGGCAGGTGCTGGTCCCGGTTCCGTGGGGGTTCACAGCTCTGGCTGAGTCCCACCCTGTGGGCTGGATCCCTAAGAATTCCCTAAGAATTTCCCTAAGAATTCCATGGCATCCTATGCCCCAGGGAAGGCGGATGCAAATCCCATTCCAAGCTGGCACCCGAGGCCACCCCACCAATCCCCCTGGCACCCACGAGTTTCCAGCCCAGGGGTACACAGGAGGGACATCCCTGCAGGGATCCAGCTGCCAGGAATCTCAGGGAGCAAGGCACCAAATGGCAAAGCAGCTCTGGGTACCCAGCCCCTTTATTTTAGCAGGTGATTGCCATGGAAACAGATGCCACAGGGATGAGGCTGCTCAGCATCCCACTCCCCACCGGGATACCCGGGATGAAGCCCCATTCCTCAGTGTAAATCGACCACCAGCCCATCAAGAGGGAGTTTACAGCTCCAGCCTTCCCAAAAGCTGCTCCTGGTTGTGACTCCAGCCCTGCCACCACCCCTGACCCCTCTGTCCCTCTCCAGCAGGCTGGGAAAGGCACAGGGATGTGGGATACCATGGGAGCAGTAGGCTGAGAATGAGCTCCTGCCAGCAAGAATCCGGGCTGGAAATTCTCCCAAACCTCCCCCAGCACCTGGAGACACCCAGGACAAAGCGAGGAGGCACAGCTATAGGGGGAAACTGAGGCACAGCTATAGGGGGAAACTGAGGCACAGAGAGCAGTGGGAAGCTTAATCCCTACCTGCATCCACTCAGACACATCCCAGTTCTCCATCCTGGATCCGGGACCCCCACACCCAGCAGCCTCTCCCTGCATCCCTGAGGCTGAGGCTGCACCACACCCGTGTGAACAGTGCAGGAAAAAGGGAATAGCTGGAAAAGGCAGCCTTAAAAAAGCTGCTGTGCCCAGGGTGGGACAGAAAAACATGAGTCAGTGTTTATCTGGGCAGAGCCAGCCAGGCTGAGCGGGACGGGTTGGGATAGGATGGGATGGATCCCACAGATCCTCCAGGTCACATTGTGGGGTCACCCCCGTGGGGAAAGCGCCCCAATCCTGCCAGAAGAAGGGGTTTAACCTCAAAATTTGGGTCATGAAAGGCCCCTCCCAGGGTGAAACTCCGGCAGAGGAACCTGGCCTTCCCTGGCACCGAGTGTTGAAAGAGCCACCCCGTTCATAAAATCCTGGCCTTTTGCTCCATCTGCTCTGTTCTCGGGAAGGTTTGAGGATTAAAAGGGAAAATTTTGGGCGTTTGCACCAACACAGGCAAAGAATTCCTTGAAAAAGGGCAGTTTGTACTTCTGAGCTGCCTAAAATGACTTGGCTTCCAAGATAATGAAAGTTCTTTCATCTCCTCTACTCTCTTCTAATAATCCAAGGTTTTCTTCTGACACTTCTCAGGCAATAAAAAGAAAAAAAAAAAAACCCTCTCTTTTTCTGAGCATCCTGCCTGCTACATCCCAGCACTGCAGTGATGCTGTCCCTAACCTTGGCTTGGGTTTTGTCAGGGGACAAAACCTTGGGGACATCGCTCCAGATTTGGGGCATACAAAGGGAAATAAACCCAAGCAAACAGAAACAGGGCTGCAGGAGGGACGTGACCCCACAGGGGATGTGGCATGGCTGGGGACAGCAGACTCAGCCCCCCCGTGAGCGAGGAAGTCACCCCGGATCCGCGGGAGCATCCTCCCAGCTGTGCTCTGTGTCCCCAGCTGAATGCTGATCAGCACGGCAAAGAAAAGCCACCCTGTTCTCCCTGTCCCCAGCCTGGGGACACTGCCACACTGTCAGGGCATCAACCCCCCCAAATTCACTGCCAGATCCTCTCCCTTCTGTGCTGTTTTCCCACCCCACAGGCTGCAAAGCCCAGCTCCGAAAGAGGTTGGGATTTTTGGGAAAATTAGGGGGTTTGGGGTGAAGGACAGTGGGGATCCCAAAACCACTGTATAACAACAGGGGAGGAAAAAACCTCAACTGGCTGCAAACCCTTCCTCCTAAATCCCTAAAAAAATATATATATAAATTAACAAATAGATATAAACCCAGAGGTGTTTACCTGAGCTGGATAAATCCCCAAGGAATTTTCAGCATTTAGAAGCTGCATTAGACATCTCTGCTTCTCCTCCAGCCCCGTTAGGGCTGGCATGGGAACGACCCTGGGCTTGTGGCTTTGGCATCCAGCTGGAGCTGACACGGATATTGCCGAGCTTTCTCATCCCGAGGAGAAGCACATGGGATGGGAGGATGAGGAAAATAAATGCAGCCCGTGGAATAAACCAGCTGCTGGCCTCAGCAGAGCTGCAAGGGGAAGCTCTGGGGGAGGATGTTGAGCTTGCGGAGTTTAGCCGGACACAGAAGGGGATGTGGCACCAGCGACATGCCCCGTCCACCACGGCTCCTGTGCTGTCCACAGTGGCTTGGGAATCTCCTGGGAGCCTTTGGGAAGGGTTTGGGTGTCCCTCATTGTGAGCAGAGCCAAAGGGTCCCCTCGGGCTCCTCCACCAGTGCTGTCCCTCATCCCTGCTCCCCAGGCACCCCAAAATCCAGGCCCTGCTCCTGGGATGCTCCTGGCCTCACACACAGGAGAGGGGGAACCCAAAGCCATTTCTGGGGCGCAGGGAAGAAGAGAAGCTGCTCATCAGGTCCTGCCCATCCCACAGTGCATTCCCAGTGAGGAAAGCAGCCTGGCCTGGTTTGTACCCTCAAAGAGAGGGTCACCAGCCAAGAGCTGTCCCCAACCATCCTGACCTCAAAGCTGTGCCTGCCAGGAGTTGGAAATTGCCAGTGGCAGCCGGTGATCCAGCACAAGCTGAGCATGGATGGACAAAAATCCCTGCCCTGAGCCAGGAGAGCTCATCCAGAGGGAGATGCAAAACACCTGGAGCAAAAGCTGCACCGTGCTGTGAAAGAGCATCACCAGAGCCCCCACCTGCCCTCCAACATCAGGATCCACAAGTTTTCCAGGGGACAAATCCCAGTTCCCTCAGAGCTGGAAAAGCACCACCCAAGTGTGACCAGGGACAGGGGGTGATGCCAGCAGGGAGTGGTGGCAGGTGGGAGGGAGCTCGAGGCCACCGTGTCCTGTGAGGTGGGGACATTGACCCCGTCCCACGCGGAGCAGCTCCCGTGAGAGCCGAAAAAGAGGAATCGGAGGCACTGCCAGCTTTGCACAACTCTGTGTCGCAACACCCCCGAGCTGAATCAGGGCTGAAAAAATGCTGATGTGCCGGTTCGGGGAAAGGAGAAGCCCCAGAAAGCCCTGAAGTGTGAACCGGGCAGGGATGTGCCAATCCTCCTGTGGAAGCAGGCTGGGGACTCGTGACCGGCTCCCCGGGGTCCCTCTCTCCCAGGACCCCCGGGATGGGGTGGCAGCTCCGGGATGTTCCACGCTTGTGGCACTTTTGGCAGTCCCCAGGTGCAGAGGAGGTGCCCCGGGGCAGTGGGAAATGCAGCCCAAAATTGTAAAAACCACGAGAAACACGGACCCGGCTGGGGAGTGGTACAGGCTGGATCTGCCCCATGGCTCTGCCACCACCTGCTGTCCCTTCTGCTGCCCCAGTGTCCCCCACGAAGTGACCTCTCCCGATACCTCGTGCGGTGCCAACGCTGTCCCGCTGCTCCGCGCCGGGCAGGACGAGCTCGGGGTGCCCTGAGTGCCAGCGGGATCCCATTCCCAGGCGGATCCCGGCGTGCCGGGACAGACACAGGCACGGTGCCGCTCCCCGCCGGTTTTAAGGGAGAGGGGAGGGAGTTGCATCCATCACCAAGGTTTTCTTGGCAGCGCGATGCTCGGCGAGCAACAGCTGGGAGAGGGTGTGACGCCGGGAGCTGGGAACGCTGGCCTGGATCACAACCCAGCGTGAGGAAGCAACAAGCTGCTTCCCGAGGGGCCTCCTTTCCTGTGCCGCCCCCCGGGCCGGAGCTCACCGTCCCACGGAGGGATAACGGAGCTCAGAGCGCTCCGCGGGGATGCTGCTCCAGCCGGGAGCCCGAGGGGAGGCAGGTGGCAGCCAGCCCCCCTCGCTGCGCTGTCCCCACCCTGGGTCAGCCGCTGTCCTCTGCTCCCCCCACCGCCCCCAACTCCTTCCAAGACGTTGAGTCACTTCCCTTCAGGCAAAATCTGGCTCCCAAACGCCGCTCCTGCTGCTCAGGGGCTGCTTTTCCCGATGGATTTCATTACCACCAGGATGCTGCAGCTGCTTCCAGGCAGCCCCCCCAGCCCGCAGAGGCTCTGTGGTGGCAGCTCTGTCACCCCAGCCCCTTTAACACCTGCAAGAAAAGTTTTCTGGGGACCACAAAGGAGCTGGGAGAGGCTCCAGGGTCCCCCGAGTAGGAGGGATGGGAAAGGCTGGATGCAGGGATGGGGTTCAGGGTGACAAACAAGAGGTTTTTGGGGCAGCCCCCCAGATTGGGAGCACTGAGCAGCGCAGCCCCACCCACACAGAGCAGGAGGTTTGGATAACCCCGGGCTTGATGTGGCACCGGGAAAATTCCTTCCCTCCCCACGCGGCTCCCAAGCCTCAGGCATCCCAGTCCCAGCATCCATCCCAGTCCCAGCATCCCTCCCAGCGGGATAAGAGCCAGTGCAGGGGTTGGGAGCAAAGGCAGCACAAGGAAACACAAAATTTGGCAGTGATGCCCCCTCAGCCTCCTCCAGTCTGGAAAAGGAGCAGGATTTGCCCCACTGGGACACCCCAGCTCAAGCAACACTGCCCTGAGTTTGTCACCAGCCATTCCAACCCTCTCCCCAGCAGAAAGGAAGTTTGTCTACCACAGGATACTAATTAAGGCTAATTAATTACCCTCAGCTGTAAAGACAGAGCAAAAAACATCCTGAATCCAGCAGTAAGGGACAAAACCAGCCACAAACTGATGGGATTTCCTTTTGTGTGTCTGGAGTCCAGCGGTGCCACCAAGAGATGCTCAGCCCAAGCAGCTCCAGGTGGCACTAGCAGGGACCTGGTGGGGAACTTTGGGCTTCCCAAAACCACCCCAGGGCCTGCTGGGGCTGGGAATGCTGGGCCATGGATGCTCCTGCACGTGGCCTTGCCAAGGGCTGACCTCAGGACATCGACAATGACCGAAATCCCGGCAGCTCTGGGGAATCCAGAGCCCAGACCTGGCACAATCCCCGTGTTCCCAGCAAGGCTGAGCTCTGCAGCCCCACAGAACCAACCCATCCCTTGGCACTGCCTCCTTTCCCAGGCACCTGCCACTTCCCCACGCCCAGGCAGGATGCAGGATGCTGGTCTCACACTGATCCCTGTGTTTAGCAAGGAAAACACGCTGACTTGGGATGTCATTTCCCATCCCGAGCGTTTGTGGGTTGGGGTTTCCCTCCGGGGCACTCGGCACCGCCTGCTCAGCAAAGCCCTGCCGGCAGCAGCGCCTGCGGGAGGACAAATCCCTGTTCCCAGGGCTGGTGATGGAGCAGGATCCGCTCGGGAGCCGCCGTCGGGAGCGGCAATTCCAGGCGCCGCAGCCGGCGCAGCCTTTGGCAGCTGTCGTGTCCTTGGCAAGCGCCGAGTGCCACCCACACCGAGCAGAGCAATTAAAGCTCTAAATTGATTTGGGCTGATTAAACGCCCTGGAGCAGCTCCCTGCCGGGCCGGGATGCGCGGATCGGGTCGGGATGCGCAGATGGGGTTGGGATGCGCAGATGGGGTTGGGATGCTCGGATCGGGTCGGGATGCGCGGGTGGGATTGGGATGCGCGGGTGGGATTAAGATGCGCGGATGGGGTCGGGATGCGCGGATCGGGTTGGGATGCGCAGATGGGGTTGGGATGCGCGGATGGGGTTGGGATGCGCGGATGGGGTCGGGATACACGGCCGGAGCCCGGCAGGTCCGACCCCTCCGGTTCTCGCCCTTCTTCCCTCCCACACAGGCTCTGGGAACCCGCCTGACTCATCCCGAAACAGATGTGGCAGTCAATGGGGAAGAAATTGGAGGAAGTTTGGAAGTTTTCTCTCTCCGGGGGAGCTTTCTCCGGCATCCAGCAGCACTTTCCCTCGCCCCGGGCAGAGCCGTGGGGATAAATGGGAATGGCAGGAAAAGGAGCTGCGCTCAGCTACGAGGGCAAGAGAGGAGGCTCCCACTGCATATCCCAGCTCCAAATCTCGGGTTTTAGAGCTGGGTTTATGCCCAGGGATAGCTCTGCCCTGCCTTTCCCCCAGGGAGCTCATCCCTGCTCCACACCCGCTGCGGTCCCGAGCTCCGGATCCCGTCACTGCCTCCCGATCCAATGGCAAACTCCCTGCACAAATAAAGAAGCCACAGACAGGATGTTCAGGAGACGGCTCCCGTTCCCTTTTTTCGCTGATTTGATACAACCACAGGAAAAAAAAAAAAAAAACCAACCCCAGTCCCAACCTTGTGCAACTCGAGCTTATAAATAGCCCCAGAAACACAGCAGGGCTGGGATGGGACGGCCAAATCCCGCTGTGCTCCTCAGGCTGGCACCTTATCCTGCTGCATCCCACCCCTGGGATGGGCAGGTCAGGGATCTCCACCTGGTTCAGCCCCCAAACACCCTCACAGAGCCTCTCTTTGCCTCCAATCTTGCATCATTCCCCCCATTTCCCACGTGCTTCCCTCGGAGCTGTGCCAGAGCTGGATCTGAGCGATGCACGCCCACGGGCCAGGGGAGAATTCCGAGTGCTCAGCTCCCAAACCCCACCCTTGGCAGAGGAGGAGTGATGGGAACAATCCCAGAGCAAAGCTGGGCCCTGTTCCATGGATCCCCCCATCTGAGGCATCACCCACCCACTCCCATCCCCATCCTGCTCCCCAGGAGTGATGGAAGTGCCACATCAGGAGATTTATCCATGATTTCCAATTCCTGCTGGAGCTGTCAAAGGCCACTGACAGCTCCTGGAGCAGGGATGAGGAATTGCCAGGCATGGACACTTTGTTGTTGCCTTGGAGCCCCTCAGCAGGTGACAGACAGGATGTCACCTGTCACCTGCCCAGGGATTTATGAGCAGGGGTGGCATCAAATCCTGGAGTGGTTGGGTTTGGAAAAACCTTGAACTCATCCCATTCCGTTACCTGCCATGGACAGGAACACCTTCCACAGACCAGGTTGCTCCAAGACCCATCCAGCCTGGCCTTGGAATAAGAAATTCCATTTAAAAAATAGGAAATTCCATTAAAAAATAAGAAATTCAATTAAAAATTAAGAAATTCCATTAAAAATGCCTACAGGGCTCCAGGACTGGATGCTGCACATCCCACTGGAAAATGGGAGATGCTGACAGGTTTCAATTCCTTGTGCTGGGAACCACTGGAGCTGAATTCAGGCTCATCTTTCACCCTGAACTCCTTCAGCATCCTCCAAAAATCCTCTGGATGTGCTTTTCCTGCTGTCGGTGTGGTGAGTGAAGACACCAAACATGGACAGAGGGGAGTATTCCTGAAATCTCCCAGAAGAAAAATCAGTGGGATCTGGCTGATAAAACCCCTTAGGAAACTCCCAATCCTTTAAGGCACCAATTGGATTTGTCTTAATAACAACAGATTCCTTCAAATTCCCAACCATCCATAAGGAAACCTGCTTTATTTCTGTGGTTTTTAATTAATAAACCCAGTTTTCCTTGCAATCAACATCTGGGAGCTCACCATTCCATGGAGCAGAGCTTTGCAGGGACAAGTATTTTTGAAGTTGGCTTTGCCAATGGCTCCATTCCTGCCAGCTCTGAGCAATCCATGCCTTTTTCGGGGTTTTTTTGGCTGGGGGTGGCCTTGGTGAAGGTTCCCTGAGTGCAAATTGCCCTGGAATTTGTAAAAATAACAGCAAAATATGTTTTATTCTTGAGCCTTTGCCAGGCTGGGATTATTTCTGAAATGGGGGAGCACTCAGTGGTGCCAGGGAGATGTGGGGGCACCTGTGCCCTCACTGGGGTTCCCCACAGCATCTTCCCTGGATGGATCTGGATCACTGATCCCAATATCCAGAGCTCAGCCCCGTGCTGGATACAACCTTTCCCACACAGGAGCCCAGTCCCAAAACCCAGCTGTTACCTCAGAATTATTTAAACAGATCCAGAAATGTAGGGATCCATCCAGAGGGTGTTGCTGGTGGAAGCCAGGTCCACTGACAGCAATGAATTCCTGATTTTTATTCCCCAAGCAGTGCAGAGGGAATCCCTGTTATCCATGGCCTGGAGTGGGTGCAGAAAGTCCCCAGCACTGTTCCTGGCTGATGGAGAATGGAGCTCACATCCAGCTGCTCCCAGAAGGATTCAGAGACCTTGGGAAAACCTTATAAATCAATAGGGATAAATTGAAAATTCGGGCAGGAATTCACATAATTCATCCACTCTCCCTGAAGAATTCTGGGGAAAAAACAGGTTGGGAAAAGGGAATTTGGGGTACCCTGGCTGGATGTGGCTTCCCTGGCACATCTGGCTGGAGAGAGGGTGTCCAAGGAATTAATTCTGTGTGGAGATCACTGGAATGTCAGGAGACCTCTGATTTATCCCCAGCCTTCAAGTGCAGGAATTAATTCTGGCCACGGAATTCCGGCCACTTCCAAAGCCAGCAGAAGCTGCCTTCAAGGAGCCATAATCCCCAAGGGAATTAAAACTAAAAACTAATTAAAACTAAAGCATTTCCCTGGATATCCCACCTGGAATGCAGGGTATCCCTCACCCTGGCATCTTCCCAACCCAGCAAATCCCAGGCACTGCTGGTGAGGAGCTCCTGCAAAACAATTCCCCTGTGGAAAACAGGGAGCTAATGGCATTTAGGGGAAGAGGAATGAGAGGTTGGATGTAAGTAGACCCAATTAGTGGATGGGTCAATTAAGAGAGAGGTGATGGGATATTGGAGATCCCAAATCCCTCCTTGCTCTGAGGATCCCACGTGCTCGTCTCCCGTCACTGCTCCTGGAAAATCCCCCCATGAAGGATTGAAACGAGTCATTTATCAATTAAATGTGAGCTCTGGCAAATTAAAATCTGTCCTCTTGTTTAATTAATAGGGCAGCTTTATATTCGACAAATTAGGGAGCCTCTTGATGAGCTAATTTGTTAATTAATGG